AGAACGAGAAGACCGGTCGCATCCAAAACGCCCCGTATGTGGACAACAGCTACAAGTGGGCCGGCGGTGGCCTACTGTCCAACGTTGAGGATCTGCTGAAGTTCGGCAATATTATGCTCTATAGTTTTAAAGGCGGCGCTCCCGACGGCAAACCCGGTCTCATCAACAAAGACATTGTCGATATGATGTGGACTCCGGTGAGACCTATTCTGACTACACATTAGACCAATCATTTGAATTCTCGATTACTCTCCCATTATATCTCTCTGTGTTTGTTATTTAAATTATAAGTTATAACTAATGTTTTGTAAAACTGTTTTTATTATTTAAAAAATGGTGACAATTAGGCGGAAAATACTTTGGGAAAGTTCGGCGCAGGTTATGGTATGCATTGAAGTGTTGTTTCTTTGAGCATAACTTATACATGACTTGAATTTGTATGTCAGGTCTCGGATGGGGTACACTGAGGGACGGCAAGTGTGAGTACGCGTTCTGTGCTGAGCCAATGTTCCCCACTTTGATCTCTCACACGGGCGGTGCGATCGGCGCCTCATCTATACTTATGATTGAACCCAACAGTGAACTTATTGTCGCAGTTATAGTGAACACAACCGGTGTGTCCGGTTTGGGAGAGACGGCCACTTATATCGCGCATCAATTCACTCGTCATAATAATTGGACACAAAAGTTATCGCAAATATTGTCTGAAGTCAACAAATCTGATCAATAATTTTCTGTTTTAACAAATTTATATATTAATCTATTTTTGTATTTATTATGATTTGATTCAAATGATTGCCGTCTAATGTAATGGATATTTATATTAATTTAAAATGATGTACCGGTAAAATATTTACATTTAATTTATTATAATTGCTATTATAGTCAATAAACACACGACTTGATTGGGATAGACGTTGGGGCGGATATGGTATGCATTTTGATTCAATCATATTTTCTAACTCTATTCATAAATAACTATTTTGACGCCAGGTTTGGGTTGGGGTGTCATCCGAGACGTGACGGCTAAGAATGCTTTCTGTGCGGAACCGTTGGCCCCAAACATGTTCTCACACGTCGGCGCCGCCGTCGGCTCCTCATCTGTGATACTGATTGAGCCGAACAGCGAACTAATCGTTACTATAATCACTAATTTACAAAATGTTAACACTATTTACAACATCGCTGTGGATATCGCTCAACAATTCACTCAAAAACAAATATCAATACAATAATTGTGGCCAACCTTTTCATCATTAATTCAACGCCAGTCAATGAATCTAATCTAGTTATAAATTCCTATTTTTACTGTTAACTATGCTATGGTCTCAAAAAGTGCTCAAAATTAGCATATATTTTTTTAAACAATTGTAAATGATTTTACAAATATAAATGGTTAATATATTTTTAAATAAAATAAACAAATATTTAATAAAATTTGTATTTTAAAAAGTTTACCACAAGTTCTTCTACAGAGTCTCTGTAACAGAGAGGTAGAGAAGAGATTTGTGAAAGTGTGAGGCAATGGGAGGACGTATTTGACGTTCAGTCACAAGACACGTGTCTATACGACTGGTCCCCCGACAGCACTGTTGGTGCAGTTGAGACGAGTGCGCAAATGGCAGTCACTGT